ACTGATGTCTAGAGCAAGGGTAAGAAATTATAAATTGTCTAAATGTTGCTGGATTATAATGTCAAGCAAGGAGGGTTGATGGGAATTACAGTTTAGAACCATTACCAATACCTAATACTGCAAACAGGAATTATGCATATTATGAGTATTTTAGAAGCAACCGATTGTCTATTATGTAGGTAACATATGGCTGGCCAAGAGCCCTTGGTCTTGGATTACAAGAGAACTTTAAAAGGATGTTGCAGGTAATAACATACTTTCCACTCATTCACTGAGGATGGGAGGAGAGACGCAAGAAATTAAAAGGGAAATCGTGCAAGAAGAAGCATTGTTCTGAAGAAAAGGGAAGGAAAGGAAAGGTTTCCTTTCTTAGTCTATCATTTTGAACACTAGGATAGCGTAATAAGAAGTCACTTGATAGGCAACATATCCATTTAATAAATACATAATGTTACAAAAGCAATCTTTCTGTGACTTTTGAATTCCCCATCATTTCTTTCTCCTGTTAAAAAATGTGCTTTTATTGTCCCAGAAATTTGTCCCTCACTGATCCTAAACCATAGACCTGTTGAACATTCATAGAACACTGTAGGGAGGGAGCTGCCTATAAGGACAAAAAAAAACCCAGAGGAAATTGGTAGCAGCTTTTCTGACAAAGGTTTCCTGAATTACAGCTCAGTTCATTAGATGCATCTTGCAGAACATCTGCTTCTATTATGAAGTTTCTTTGATTAGGGATCATTGCTGTAATCCAACATCTGTCAAAAAAAAACCCCTCCTACTGTCTCTTTTTCACTGCAGAGCATCAGCGATTCATCTTAGAAGGCTTCTGCAGATGGCTATCAACATAAGACTTCTGCAGATACTGTAGGTCTGCCTTCTGCTAGCAAGGAGTTTCAAATAGAAGTACATAATGTTCTGCAGGATGGGAAAGAGGTTGGGCAAATGACAAGCATCTTGATGTTATCATACAAATGACACAACTTACATAGTAGCTTATATTATAGAGTTGTTACATTTGCACAATGATGTAGTAGTAGTAGTAGTAGTAGTAATAATAATAATAATAATAATAGTAATAGTAATAATAATTTGGAAGGGATCTTGGAGGTCATCTAGTCCAACCCCCTGCTCAGGCAGGAAACCCTACACCATTTCAGACAAATGGCTGTCCAGTCTCTTCTTAAAAACTTCCAGTGTTGGCGCATTCACCGCTTTTGGAGGCAGGTTGTTCCATTGGTTAATTGTTCTAACTGTCAGGAAGTTTCTCCTTAGTTCTAGGTTGCTTCTCTCCTTGCTTAGTTTCCACCCGTTGCTTCTTGTCCTGCCTTCAGATGCTTTGGAGAATAGCTTGACTCCCTCTTCTTTGTGGCAGCCCCTGAGATATTGGAACATGGCTATCATGTCCCCCCTCGTCCTTTTTTTCGTTAAACTAGACATACTCAATTCCAGCAACCGCTCCTCATATGCTTTAGCCTCCAGTCCCCTAATCATCTTTGTTGCTATTCTCTGTACTCTTTCTAGTCTCAACATCTTTAACCTCGCGGTGACCAAAACTGGATGCAGTATTCCAAGTGTGGCCTTACCAAGGCATTGTAAAGTGGTATTAACACTTCACATGATCTTGATTCTATTCCTCTGCTAATGCAGCCTAGCACTGTGTTGGCTTTTTTGGCAGCTGCAGCACACTGCTGGCTCATATTTAAGTGATTGTCCACTAGGACTCCAAGATCCCTCTCACAGTTGCTACTATTGAGCAAGGTACTACCTATACTATACCTGTGCATTTTATTTTTCTTGCCTAAATGTAGAACCTTACTTTTTTCACCATTGAATTTCATTTTGTTAGATAGTGCCCAATGTTCAAGTCTATCAAGAGCCTTCTGTATCCTAAGCCTGTCTTCTGGAGTGTTGGCTATTCCTGCCAGCTTAGTGTCATCTGCAAATTTGATGAGTTCCCCATCTATCCCCTTATCCAAATTGTTGATGAAGATGTTGAAGAGCACTGGGCCGGATCATTAATTTTGACATGGTCAAAACCTGTAACAGATGTCTATGCCAGAGTATCTTATTTTTCAGAATAGTTTGAATAACCTGGCTTCCTGCAGTCTTTCATTGTTGTTATTGTAGGTTCAAATCTGGAATACCAGTAAAATAGAAATTCTGTACATTGAGGAGTCAAATTGTTTCAACTGTTTACTCTTCATATTAGTCCTCTACAACTAAGTACCCTCTAAACGTAGCCTAAAGTGATGGGTTGGAATCCAACAAAGCTAATCTATATGCTTCTGCTGCTCTAAATATATTCCTGCTGAATAATTGCCAATATAGGTTTATTGTTTATTGAATTGTGGGTTGTTCTGTTTTCATGTTTTATGTTATCTTTATCCCATTTTTGCCTTGGGCCACTTGGATTTTAGCAAAGAAAAAAAAAGTGAGGTAAACTAGGTATGCACAAAATGTTGTACTCTCTCTCGGAAAATGCAAAGTTCTGAGGAACTCTAGAATGTTCTAGTTTTCTTTTGCACCATGCTGATCTAGCCACTCTGAGAGTTGTCCAGCAGTTTTCTGGGAGAAAATTCTTCTGGGACGGGAAGTGTTTTGTGCTGATCTGGCCCCAAAACAAATTTAAAATGTTCCATACCTGGAAACAGAACATTGCGCTTATACCTAATACAAAAACTAAACAAAATTAAACTGAACAAGGCCAGAGACTCACCTGTACCAATTTCTGTAAACCACGAGGAAGCTGAGTTCAAGTTGATTGTCTCAAACTGTACAACCTGATTTGGTTCAGCCACTTTGCTGATTGCAACACATACCATAGGGTATTCCTGTTCAGGGATTACCAGCATTTCAAATACTTTCAGTGGGGTTGGCAGAGGGAAATCAAAGTGCTGGAGGATGAAGATACATTTTTAAAAAAAATCTAACTGAAGAACAACTTGTACATTTTAAGATATGCATATTTAGAATGATCCATTCATATTATTTCATTTATTTTAAATCTAAAAAGTAATCTTCATGTAATATTCAATTTAAATCTATATACAATATTATAACAAATATAGAGAGATATATACAAATTTCAAGCACTTTTGAAACATTTCTCTGAAAATCCTCTCAAATGAGCTTTTATGGATCACCTTCCCAAGGAAGGATTTTTAATTAATAGGCCCTGCTTCTGTCCTCTTTTGCCTTCAAAAAACAAATGGCCACTTTATGCTTGATGTTTTAGAATTTAATAATAAAGACCAACAGTTTAAACTGAGCTCAAAAATTGTCACAGGCTCAAACTCATTTGAAGTCTCAAATTACTTCAAAATTCTAACAGCGCCACTCTGCTTTGGAAGATTCCTAAAAAAAAAAGTTGCAAAAAATACAAGAAAGAGGTGTGTGTGGGAAGCTTACCTTTATTAACATGAATTTCTGCATTGGTTCATACCACTGAAGCAAAACAATTCCCAACTGCAAAGCTCCACAGAGATATTTATGACCTGTATATGGATTTCTTACTAATGAAGAAAAAAGAAGAATTCTGAAGTAATCATAATGGATCATTTTAATTTGCCAGCTGCTTGAATTCATATTAAAATTTATCACAAATGAATCATTTATCACTATTCTCTAATGCCTGGAGCACCATCCTAGAAGAATCATGTGATGTTGCATCTCCTCAGAGATATAATTTCTGCAACGTTTTTGACTCAATCTACAAAATCCTCAGTCTACATCTATTGCACTCCCTATGTACTTCGAATATTGCAGAAACACCACACTCAACATGGCCAATTGTGAAGGATTGGGATGGATATTGTACTTTCGTCATACCTGAAATTTCCCTTTCCTGCCTCACTGAAAAATAAACCTAAGCATATACAGCTGAACTAGCCAATCTTTTTTCATTTTATCTTGTTAATGCCACTTATACTGATGGTGAAATGTATACTGAAAGAAGGGGTACTCCCTGAGCTTGGTTGTTTTCTTGCAGACATTTCATTACCCAAACTAGGTAACATCATCAGTGCTAGTCTGCACTAGCATTCACGATGTTACCTAGTTTGAATAATGAAATGTCTGCAAGAAAACAATCAAGCTTAGAGAGCACCCAGGACCCCTCATTTCAACTTTGAGCTACAAATAGTCTCCTTCATTGGTACACTGAAAATAAATATGATTCTGCCACCTGATGCTGAAGAATTAAGTTCAGCATTCATATTTTTCTGGGGAAGCAGGAAAGACACTGTGATGTTCTATTGCTGGTCTGCCTGCAGGATAAGAGGGGAAGAAAAATCAGAACAGCTAGCTAGAAACTGGCATTCTCAATTGTGTCAGAATTATAATTCCCATTGTCACCATAATTGCTGTGTTAAATCATGGAAATCAAAACTTGTATATGTTGGACTACAATGGAAAAGCAACAACATAGTGTTTTTAAGAAGCAATACTAAATCTGAAATATCCGAATGTCTACTTAGGGATCAATCCACATTATTCTATCCATATATAGCCTGAGAAACTTCCCTCTACTATGGCATGGCATAATTTTCTTTGTTAATTCATATTTCACGTTGTTAATCTGAGATATTTAGCCTGAGTGATTTATTCTTGCATTGATTCTCAACCAGCTGTTGTCATCTATTACAGAATAGTCTTCCTCAGAGAGAAGGAACTATGTCTGCAAGAGTAGTCAGGAAAACTTTTGAAAAGCACCTGCTCTATTTTAGCCAAGTCTTGACACTAAGAGCTTAGAAATGAGTGAAAACAAAATCAGGTTTTCAGGCAATCTTCCATATTGTAGTGCCTTTGAGATATACTGAATTATCATTCTCATATTTCTAGTCAGAATAGTCACACAGGATGGAATTAAGACAATTATAGTCCAACTTATGTGAAAGTTATTACTCTAAGAAGGCACTGTAAGTTGTAGGGTGGTAGAGCTGGAAGATTCCTTGTAAACTGAACTGACAATATCAACTCAAGATGAAGACTCACCTATGCAACATTTGTGGCATCCTTTTGTATCTGGGATCTTTGTTGTTAAGGCAAATTTTCTGGGAAAAAATACCAGAGCCAACTGTTAAGAACAAGTCAGAGGCCTCATGGAAAAATAATTTTCAACAGAGTTTTCTTTAAGCTACTTTTTATTTAAATCCACAGAATATTAAAAAATGACGGTAATGGAGTAACTGTTCTTGATGGCAACTGCATATATTTACAAAATAGAAAAAGTTTGGAGAAGGACAGGGTTATCTTTGAATACCAGCTTTTGGACTGTTTTTCTAGCATTTTGGTGGACTTTCTGAAAATAGGAAGTCTGTTTTCTGATCTTTCAGGATTTCCTTTTTATGTCCACTCCTTTCTTCTATTAACAGAAAAGGAGCTTCCTTTTTAATATATAATTTTTATTAAGTACTTTAATTATAATAATAAAATCTAATACAAACTAAACTTATAAAAAGAAAAGAGAATAGCAATGAGTAAAAGGTACAAGGAAAAAAAGAAAAAAGAAAGAGAAAAGTAAGAATAAAGAAAAAGAAATATATAAACGGTTGACTTCCAATCTTCATCACAAGTATACACAAAACTAGTAACTCTTCATCCCCTCTAAAGTTACAAACATTTATACCCTCATCTCATATCCTATGACATATCTATAAATATATCATAAAACATAATATTTTCAGTCTTGGTATCAGCAGAAAGTCCATAAAGGACAATCAAAATAGCAATAGCAATAGCACTTAGACTTACATACCACTTCACAGTGCTTTACAATCCTCTTTAAGCAGTTTGCAAAGTCAGTATATTGCCCTCAAAAATCTGGGTCCTCATTTTACCGACCTCGGAAGGATGGAAGGCTGAGTCAACCTTAAGCCAGTGAGACTTGAACTGCCAACAGTCGTCAGTCAGCAGACATAGCCTGCAGTACTGCATTCCAACCACTGCACCACCACAACACATCTTACTTTAACTATGTTTAAACTTGTTCTGAAGGTCTCTAGTATCTTAGAAGTAACAAATGAGTAATTTTTAAAGGTGATTAGAAAGTGAGTTCTGCGAACTTAGTATTCTTTAAGAGTTGCAAGCAAGATGGCTGATTCCGTTGTCTCCTGGTGCTCAAATGTGTGGAAAATCACTGGCTTGCAGTTTCATTGTCAGGAACAGCTGTCTGGAATACATGTGGGTAATCTCCCATCCTCTCCTTATCCAGAGATGTTCCAAGGAACAAATCTTTTTATCAGTTCCTTGGTCTTTGTCCCAGCTATTTGCTCCACTTTTGCAGAGCTGTCTTCAGTTCAATACTGCCCCCAGAAATTTCAGGAACATTTTGTCCTGAATTCCATTGACAAGAAATTCAATGCTTTATGTATAAAATACACAACAGCAAATCATGGTACAGGAAAACTATATACAGTTTTAACAGTTACCATTCTTCAGAAATATTGAATTCTAAAGAAATAAACTGTCTATATTTGGCATTTCAGAATATCATTCTTTTTCTTTCCCCAAGGATATCTTTAGTCTTCTTTGCTTTCTCAATTTGTTTTTTCTGAAGCTCCAGATCTACAGGGAATTTTTTTCTAAGTTGCTATAAATTCAATCATAACAAACAGTTTCATCTTTCTTGTATCCATCCAATTGGCCACTATTATAATATTCTTCTTACTGACTTTCACCTAGTGGCAATTTTAATTCTAGTAATAATCAAGAACATAAAACCAATTTCCTTTTCCTTTACCTTAACAATATCCTTTGTGTAACCCAACAAAGATCTTAATAGTTTTAATCACATTCTGTAATATCCTTCAACTGTTTTAATGGCTGTTTGCCATAATATTTAAATTTCAACAATGATTTATCATCTGTGAATATCATCTACTCTGTTATTTCCTATAGCATCAGCACAGTAGAGTCCTGTACTTTATTTAAAGAACTGTATAATTATTTTCCTAAAATAATTTGACAACAGAGAACCAGTGTGGCATAGCTGTTAAGTTGCTGGTCCAGACTCTAAACCAATGACTCTGAGCCAATGACTTCCTCTCAGCCCAACCTACCTTACATGATTGCTGTTGTGGGGAACATACCTCTTTGTACAAGGTGCCCTGAGCTCTTGGAAAATCTTAAAAAGTTTTCAGTTGAGACCTTTGTACTTACTTTGCCAACAATTATATTTTATTTCATCAAGTATTGCATACTTTATACACTTAAGAAAGTATCATGCTGTAGTGCAATGAATCATCTAGATAACTTGATAGAAAAAATTTCTATTCTAAAACCGACAAAGTGTAAAAAGAAAAAATGGGGAGAATAGAAAAAAGCTGAGGAATAAAAAAAAAAATAGTCCAATAATGTATGCTAGACAATCAGGGTTATTGTTGGGAATGAGAATTAAAGGAAGAAGCCAAAAAGCACTTTACAATATATAAAATTATTTTAACAGATTCTTATTTGTTTAATGCTCTGCACCTATTTTCTGTCCCAAGACACTGGAAAGTCTCTCAATTCTGATTTGCAACTTTAAAAAATCATAAAAGATTGTTATATTATGGCTAGAGGACAGAATCAGGGTAAGAAAGACTTTGTCCAAAATCTTTGTCCAATCGCAACGCACACTGGATAATTTTGGGTCAAATTTTGCTGGATTGCTATGAGGATAAAATGAATGAACTGGAAAAAAATATATAAGTGAGGATGTTTATCTGTACGTGGGAGAAAGAAATAAAAACAAATGTCAAACTCTATGGAGAAGTGGCATAATGTAAGTGAAACCTATACAAGCAACGTCTATTTCTGAAATTTATCCTCAACTTTCCAGACAAATATTCTTCAAATTTGTCACAAATCAATTAAAATGACAATAAAATCACTAAAAAGGAAAGCTAAAGCAACAGAACGAAACTCAGTTAAGATCTGCTGAAAGATTAAGTCAAATAAAAAGAGCTCCCCCAAGGCCTGAAAGGGATCAGTGAGGACAAGAGACAACCTTTGGAAGGGTTCAATTGGTGCTACTATCATGGCAGATTGTCCCCTTGACTTGCTAGTCTTGCTTTCAAAAGGAGGAGAACATTCTTGAAATAAAATCTCTGCTTTTCATGAATTATAATCTTTGGGTCTCAAATTGTAAAATTTATCTTTATATTTTTGCTTTTATTTTCTGAAATCAATTATTTGCTTATTTGTATTCTGCTTTTATGATTTTTAGAAACAACCCAAGGCGGTGAACATATCAAACACACAACAACAACTCTATGAGGTGGGTTGGGCTGAGAGAGAATGACTGGCTCAAAATCACCCAGATGGCTTTATGGCTAAAGCAAAACTTTAACTCACTGGCTCTCTATATTATAATATTATAGAATGTTACAGATATACTTCTGTATTTGCAAACCTAGACGCAGCAAAAACAATTCTCTATGAACATTCACAAGAAGAGGCAACCGCTTATGGAAAATGTTGTCATGATCAGCAATAGCAAACAAGCCAGATAAATGCCCTGGGACAAAATAGCAAAAACTTGTATCTCAAGATTACCCTACCTGGGTAGTATTTTATCAGGAAACCGATGGGTCTGAATATGAGCAGCTATTCCTGTTTTTTTGGCTTGTTCAAATAAAGCCATTAAGTTATGGGAGTAGAGCTGAAACGTTTTCCCTGTAACACAAACGATATTTGATCTATGTCAAACTCTTACATATCAGACTAAATAAATAAACAAACAAACAAACTTATAGAGCAGGAAAAGATTACCTTCTAAAAGGATAGCCCCCAAGTATCCATAGGTCCAAGCAAATTGCAGAATGAAAGGGGAAAAAATTAAAGAGAGATGATTTTTACCAAAAGTTAAATTCAGCACACTGAAATTTTTCACCCCATCTTTTAAACTTTATGAGACATTTCTTCAACAATATACATACCTGAGAGTGACATTAAAGTGTTGTTGATAACATACAACCACGTGCACCGCCGTGGGAACAACTAAGAAAAAGAAATAGAAAATGTTTCAATGGTGAAAGTGGGGAAAAAGGGAATTTGATTCCAGAGCTCTGTGAATTCCAGGCAATACAATTTTGGGGCAAATAAAATTATCTTTTATGGCTACCCAGAATGCAAACACACAAGGAGACTTTCAACTCCTTTTAACCTGATCTAATATCAATACCACTTACAGGATCATGTAAAGAAGTATTACTTGGAAGTAATCCTTTTGTATTCAATGACATTTATTGCTAGATAAGTATGTACATATTTGTTCTGTTAATACCATTATCAAGCTTTTCAGAATTCCACACCACTCACATTTTAATACTTTTCATCTATACGTTTATCTCTATCTACCTCCCTCCAGCACTTCTAAGATCACTGATAATTCCTATTGCAAAATTAAATACCAGGAACCCCAAATCAAAGAAGCTGAAAAAACAAGAGCAATAAAAGAAAATTGTAGTAGATTAAAAGTATTAGGAACATTGAGAAATGTAAAGTAATCAAAAGTACTTTCCTATTACACTGCAGGCTATACTGAGTGATACTAGTCAGAGAAGAGATGGATGCATTTTTCCTAGGAAAAGTCACAGATTTAGGTCAAGCATATGCAATCTTTTTCAGGCCTAGAATATTCTGACTCTTAGTGGGGCCACTTTCTAAAAAGTGGGAGGATCCAGAAGAAATATGTAACCTTTTGTTGAATTTAATTAGAACTGAATATAAAATTACATCAAATGCAGTATGACATTTTATAATTACTCACTATGCATTTGATATAGTTTTCCTTTGGTCACACTAACATCTTCAATCTAATTTGGCCAGACCATGACCAGAGCCTCACATCATTTTTATTATTGTTACTGTTTGTTTAATTTCATTGGCTACCTAGCTCCAGTGGATTCAGGATGGCATACAAAATTAGGGAAAACATAAAAAAATAGCTAAAAATATTGAATCACAGGCAGCCCAGACTAAAATAGCTAATAGACAGCAAAAACAGCAAAAGAAAACAGGGGCCACTGAACAGAGAAGAGCCACCAAGAAGCAATCCGGGCCAGGTCACAAGCCTATGCAGCCAAGGCCTCAACCGAAATGCCTGACAGGTCCTCTGGAAAAATGCCAAGCACCAATAGGGTCCGCTAGTCACCAGGGACAAGTCAGCTGAATAGGCCTGTGTGTTGTGTATGTGTATGAGACAAATACTGTATAAATATGGGGCGGAGCTTCTATCATGTGTTCTCTTGGCTTTTTTGGGTTCCCCCCTCTAAACATGCTAGAAACTATTGTTCTTGCCTAGGTCATACTTTTTGGCTCAGATGACTGCAGAGTTGAAAAAGTGCCCCTGACCCTTTGTTGAATCTACAACAGCCTAGAGCAGGGGTAGGCAAACCTGGCTCTTTTATGACTCGTGGACTTCAACTCCCAGAATTCCTGAGTCAGCTATGCTGACTCAGGAATTCTGGGAGTTGAAGTCCACGAGTCATAAAACAGACGAGGTTGCCTACCCCTGGCCTAGAGGATAGCAAAAAATATTTATTCAGTCCAAAACAAATCCCAAACTACCACAGAAAAGTGATACAAAATGCCACCCAGCCTGCTTGCTCACATCCATTCTTAATTTCCCATCTGAGAAACAAGCACCACTTTTTACCTGAGTTTCTCCCTCGCCAGAGAATGACCACCTCCATCTTGGACCCAGAAAGCATTTTTTACCTACCTGCTCCATGGTAGCTTCATGCAGCTCATTGAGATTCAGTGTGTAAATGCCCTCTTCAGTCCCAAAGATAATGTACTGATCTGTAATACGGTGGAAAGAAAAACTGAGTTAGCTACATAAGTTGAAAAAAAACACATGAAAGTAACAAACGATCTCAAATTTGCAAATATAAAGCAACTTTTTACCTTTGGTGTCAGGATGTATCCATGATGTGGCACAATTGATCTTCAAAGGGCAGCCATCAAACACTTTTGAAAAACAGGCTCCCATCTAGAATAGCATTAGTAAACAAAATATATCCCAATTTACAACATGAGAAATTCCTATTCCTTCTGGACAACCTTTTGTTTAGAATGGTATAGGGCTGTGGTGGCGAACCTATGGCACGCGCAGAGCCCTCTCTCTGGGCACGCGCGCCGTCGCCCCAGGCCTAGGACTTCAGCTGGGTTTTATAAAACCTTTTCGCTTTAAGCCTCCGCTGCCGTGTGCAAAAAAAAAAAAGGTTCAATCAATCAATCAATTTCAACTTCTCGTGGGAAAAAAAAAGATCTCGCAAAGTTGGAGTTGATTGATTGAACTTTTTAGTCCCACCCAGTCAGCCGTTACCACTGCAGCCCCGCCCACCCAATGGGCTACACCCACCCACCCGATGATACATAAGGGGTTTTGGGTTGCAGTTTGGGCACTCGGTCTCTAAAAGGTTCGCCATCACTGGTATAGGGTTTCCTGCTTGAGCAGGGGGTTGGACTAGAAGACCTCCAAGGTGCCTTCCAACTCTGTAATTCTGAGCATTATTAGTACCTTCAACTGGTATAAACAATGGCCAGAGAATCTCTGGGGTGAGAGAGAAAAAAAATGGAATGGATCTTGAACTATACAGTGTGGAACTTCAATACTATACAGAGATTCTGTTTCTCACATTTTCTTTGCAATGGGAGGATGTGTCTAACCACCACCCCTCCAATATCTGTAATTTGGGAAGGCACAGAACAATGATGAGGGTTAGTTAGCTATTATTTTTAAATACTTGTTTCAGTGGTCCCATAAAAGACATGAAAGATTTATTTATATTAGTTCTAATTTAAGAGATGGGTCTGTTCCATTAGCCAATAAGATCTCATGGTGAGGCCAAACTCTCACAACCTTCACTTTTATGCATGATTCCCAAATCACAAAAGTGAGCAGAGGTGAAGGCACACATCTCTTTGAAAGATTCCATGCTTGTTAAAGAGAGGGATGGAGGCTAGGAGGGGAAGAAAACAATTTGCATTGGGGAAAAAGGGTGCAGATGAAACAAAGTTAAAAATTTAACAGCAGAGCAATTATCAACACAACTTACAATATTTCATTTTAACTGAAAGAACTTACCAGTACTTTTGGCGTTGGTGGAAGGCCATTGATTGCTGGCTTCTGTCAACAATAATAGCAAAAGGCCAAATTTGAATTCAGTCTGAAATATTTCTAACACACCTTAGTAGGCAGAAAAAAATACTGTCAAGAATGAATCAGAATGTTCTGTCCTTGTTATTTATGGGATTGCTTAATAGTTAAATTTGCATGTGTATTAGAATATTCTGCCAAGATAGGCACTCCTAGGGTGCTTTTATGTTTGGTATATGTCAACAATGAAAGTGTTTTCTTGGCAGAATTCCCCCTTACAGAGAGATTCTCGTGCCAGGCTAAATTGCTTTCATCCTCCGGAAAAGTATCATCTGTGCATGTTTTTGAAGTGTTTAATTTGTGCCTTAGTGAACTGCAGCTTGCTAGAGCATGCTAAATGGAATATTCTTCAAGTATTTATTTAAAACATTTTCAATAAAGTAAATGTTTGTTAATAAATGGATTAAAAAAAAAAACTTCTGGAATGTTGGGTTGCAACAATTGGAGAAAGAGATATTTAAGATGCTATTTAAGCAGAGGGTTCAAGTCCCCCTTAATTCAAAAGCCTCAGTGGGTGGCTTTGGGTCAGTCACTCTCAGCCCTACTTACTTTACAGAAGTGGGGATAAAATGAAGGGGAGCCCTATGTACGTTGCCTTCAGTGACTGGAGGAAAGATAGGTTGGGGATAAGTGAGAGATACATCTGACCAACAATGCTACACTATTAAAGCCTGAGATGAATAAATGATGGATATTTGTCATGGCTTTCTTTCCGGGCCTTCAGATTTGTGGCTAGCCATAAAAATCTTGGGAAAGAAGAGGCTCACTCATTAACTTGGACTATCTTCTCAATCCAGAACTTTCCAGATATGTTGGAATGACAATTCTCAGAAGTCCCAGCCAGCACAGACAATAATCTTAACACAGACAGAGAACATCAGACCAGGAAAGTTTTCTCAAATCTTGCACTATTCTGGAACAGGTGTGGTGCATGCACAGAAGGGAGAGTGTCACAACAAACAGGAAATAATTTTTCCTTTTCTGAATTTCAGGTCTTTCTTCCTTTTTTTTTTTTTTGAAACAAATTTTATTGATGTTTTAATTCTTAGAACAAAGTGCTCAAGACACACTGTGGTGCTGGGTTAATCAAACATCCAAAAATAAAACCATATATGAATAACTCAAATCAATACATCAAATATTCTCTCTCTATTTCCCTCAAATAGCTTAATATATTTAATATAATCCATTTCTAATTTAAATTTCTATTAATCCTAAACCTGTTTTGAAGCTTTATAAATTTACAATTACCATAATCAAATTTAACTTTAAATAAACACATTATCAATTCAGGTATCCCTACCAGATATATTCTAGTTCCTTAATTTTATCACAAATCTTGTTTATTTCTTCTTCCACTAATATCTCCTAATTAAAATAAAATATTAGTCTACCCTATACGTATCTAATCCATCCATTAATCAATCTCTTTAAGATAACAAGATAATATCAAACCTTAAATCATTTCAGTCCATTGGACAAGATTCAAATTTCATCCAGTTAATTATCATACCTAATAACATCCATGTTATCAAACAAAAATATTTCGTCCCCCTTCTGAGTTTGCTCCCCTTTTCAGATACTTGTCCTCCCTTTATTATTTTTATAAATAATTCAAGGTGGTGAGCATGTCAAGCATTCCTTCCTCCTCCTAGTTTCCTCACAACAATAATCTTATGTGGTGAGTTGGGCTGAGAGAGGATGATTGGCCCAAAGTTACTCAGCTGGCTTCCATGCCTAAGAAAGGACTAGAACTCACGGTCTCCTGGTTTCTAGCCTGGTTCCTTAACCAAGCCAAACTGGCTCCTTTTCCTTGCCTGTCCTTATGTTAAGCACTGATGAGCAGGAAATAACAGACTGAACCAGTGAGCAAGAGTGCTTTTTGGAAATATCAAATGAAGTGTCCACACTGCAGAAGGAAAGATATAAATGCCCACCAGGAATTCCCGCTTCTCCTTTTTCCGTGGCAGCTGTGGCATATGGCCCAATCCCTCATTGTTTTCCTCAGGATGCTTCGTCACAGTGTCTCCATTGCCTAAACAGAAGAATTGTAAATAGAAGTAAACTCTGCATGAAGAAAAATCTAAAAAATTATGAATCAGGCAATGGGCAGAAGACAAGGATCCCTTTGTCTCAGGACTGTGGAGCTAGGGCAGGGTTAGGCAACCTTGGCTCTTGTATGACTCGTGGACTTCAACTCCCAGAATTCCTGAGCCAGCATAGCGGGCTCAGGAATTCTGGGAGTTGAAGGCCACGAGTCATACAAGAGCCAAGGTTGCCTAACCCTGAGCTAGGGTGAAGCACTTGCTGGTCTGCACCCCATCTCCCAGGAAGATGCCAATGGGGAGACTAACCCAACCCTAGTCATGAGCCACAGTAGTAGCAGCTAGTGCTCTGCAAAACTGGTTTTCATCCTTTATAATCCACTGCTCTGCTGGGGCCAACAAAGATCAGGTTTTTCCTTTTTTCCTTGGACCTTCCTTCATTGTTATACATTATTCCTATTTTACGGCTTATGCTGTAGTTTTTATGAGTCTCCTGCTTCTCAATGGCAAGCAACCATGCTGCCAAACGGTATCATGAATGGAAAGGATTCCAGGGGCATCAGACAGGGGCTTGGAAGCTTCAGCCTACTAGAAAATAATGTTTGATATTCTTCTATTCTCAGGAAATGAATTTTAAGGGGTTTAATCTTTTATGCTATATACTGAAATTTGGAATGGGTGGCAGAAATTGTAGAAGACTCTTCTCCTGAAGCCTACAAATTGACTAAGAATACATTGAATCAAGTGTTTTTATATTTAGTAATGTTGTGAACTGATCATCACATTTTAAGAGACCCCTGAATTAAAATTTAAGTTCTTCTATGTTCTGATGCACACTGTTTAGGGCACTCCAATTTAAAGAAGGCATACTATATGACGAAGTGTAAATATTCATACTGGGGAATAATGCATTGAGATATCCACCCAAAAGTACCATGGAGAACTCATAATACCATCTTTCTTCTCTTTTCATTCTGAATATTTTCAAGGTAATTGTAGCCTGTATCTGAGCATACAGTGGTTGAATCTGCAAGCTTTCTGCAAAGATCTCCTTTAGTATTTGTTTCAATCTTACATATTTTGGGAGGTCATGATGAAAATGAATGAACCATTGAGCTAAGAGAACTCTGCATACTGTTGAGCATGGAAGAACTAATCTTCATTCAAGAAACAATGCTAGTTACCCAAATCACTGTATCTGGCTGTGAGGAGACCAGGGCTGCTGACACTGCTGCTCATGCCAAATACAGAGGGTTCTATCTGAGGTCCACAAACAGGGATGCTTTGTCTCCGGTGTCCTGGTGAGGCTTGATTTTGGAAATCGGGACAATACTTGATCGTCTGGGACTTCTCATTGTCCATGAAAATTTCTTCTAATCGAGGCTAAAGCAGAAACATAAAACATGAATGTTGCTTTTTCCCTGGGCACTTTCTACTCCTGAAGACGTGATCAGGCCTAACCTGTTCCCTCTTTTCCCAAGCCTCTGCTTCCCTTTATGCCTGATATTTCTTCAAAATGGCCTCTCCTGCATATGAACAGAACCTCTATATTATATCTTTAAGTTACTCTTCAACACTACAACTTTTAGCATTTTAGCCAGAGAAAGAACAAGTAATATTAAACAGTATGAAAACTAGATGTCTAGGTAACAAAAACTAGAGAAACAATCCCTGGAAATGTGTGATCAATTGCAGTAAAGTGAACAACTGATGATACATCTGGCAGGACCCAGAAGAAGGGCCTTCTCCGTGGTGGCTCCCTCCCTCTGCAACATTATCCCTCCAGAAATTAGACTGGCCCTACTCTGACACTCTTTTGGAAGGCCCTGGAGACATAGTTTTGGAATCCAGAGTGGGATGGAACCCATTAAATGGTTGGTATGAGTGTTGTCATCGAGGGGGATGAGGGTGGGGACTTATTATTTTATTATTTTTATTTCCTCTACATTGTGTATTTATGTTCTGTAAGCTACCTAGAGTTACTGTGAGTGAGCAGGCGGATATATAAAATTTCTAAAATACATACATACATACATAAAATCTTACTACATTTTAAAAAATCCTGTTCCTAAAAAGCTTCCTTAGTATGCAACTGTTGATTCATGCTTAGGGATATGCAATTACCTTTGGAGGCAGAGGAGGGGGTCCAGCTCTTTTCAATGTTGATCTAAAAAAGTCCAACAAAAGTGTTTATTCCCATTTAATAAGGTAGCAGCATTAAAATATGAAGAAATCATTATTGCTCGCAATGTCAAAAAACTGATTAGTTGCCCAGCATGTTTAATTTTGCAATAGTAGCCTTTTATTTCAAATGGAACATATTCCTTTTCAAATGGAATTATTAAAGGAAGCAAACAAGCAAAGAGTACTCATGATTAGCAAAATAAAAATACACAAGCATTGCTCTTCTGAGATTTCATTTCCCGTTGTAAATGGGGATATATCATACTGTATATCTAAAAATATTTCAATTCTGCTCCACCTGCACAATGTCCCCAGACTAGAAAGGGTATCATAAATTCCTTTGGCATTTTTCAAGCACACATCCTACTATCCATGTGCTGTTTTACTCTTAAAGATATAAATAACAGACTTTAAAAAGTCATCTAAAAGTGCAAACTACAGCTTGTTGTTGTTAGTTGCGAAGTCGTGTCCGACCCATCGCGACCCCATGGACAACGTTCCTCCAGGCCTTCCTGTCCTCTACCATCTTCTGGAGTCCATTTAAGCTCACGCCTACTGCTTCAGTGACTCCATCCAGCTACCTCATTCTCTGTCGTCCCCTTCTTCTATTGCCCTCCATCTTTCCCAGTATTAGGCTCTTCTCCAGTGAGTCCTTCCTTCTCATTAGGTGGCCAAAGTATTTGAGTTTCAACTTCAGGATCTGGCCTTCTAAAGAGCAGTTGATCTCCTCTAGGACTGACCGGTATGATCGCCTTGCAGTCCAAGGGACTCACATGGACAGTACCAAACTACAGCTACAACATCCCTAAGAAGTGGCTTCAACTTAAGAAACTCCAAAGAAGGAATTCCAAGGACAATCCATCAAGTCAAATATGGGCTGGTCCAAATAGGTTTCTCATAGAACTAAATGAGGGAAATGGTAAATAAAAAATAATAATTTCACACAACTGTAATCGTTATAGCAGCACCTGCCTAGGCTGAACTAAAACTAATTTGGTCAACTGTTTCATTGATTATTTAAAAAAAACCTCCACTAAGCATACTAATAGCTCTGGATTTGCCATTTCTTTCTCTTCCCCCCCCCCTCATCTATTAGGAATTAAAAATTCAGAGCCACCTGAAAACTACATAAGATTTGGGATGATTTGTTTGTATTTGGACAGGCAGAATAATGCAATGTTGCAAAATGATATAGATCATTTCGGGAGAAAAAAAAAACTATGCATGCTTTCTCAAACATGTCCATGGAGATTCTTAGTCATCCAGGTCATGGTTGTCCCAAAGGTGCTTTTTCAAGAGGCAACTGGACTTTGTTTTTTCTTGAACACATTTCATTTCTCATTCAAGAAGCGAAGAAGACTGAAGATGAGAAGCGAAACGTCTTCAAAGAAAAACAAAGAAACTCCAGTTGCCTCTTAAAAAAACTCCTTTGGGTTTCTCAAGCATGATAGCAAAGCAAACTGGGAAGTGGTGGTCTGAGTGAACAGTTAATTCATTAACAGTAATTGCACTAAGTCTGCAATACAGGTGGAACCCCTTTCCAGAGCCACCTGTCCTTCTGCGTACTTTTATGTTATAAGTCCACAGTGAAAGAACAGCAAGATGTTTTTGCCTGTACCCAATATGATTTCCATGATGTAGCTTTCTTAGTGTGGGGCAACGATCAAAGTATCAGACAGTAAATACAAAGAGATCAGTAAGAAAGCACTTACTCCTCAGCATCTTCGTGGCCATCACCAAATTTGGCAAGATGTCCCCTAAAACAAATGTTTATACAATTAAAAAGGAAGAAAAACATTGTAAATCAAATGAAAGTTCAGTTTGAATGAGTGTAGCTAAAAGGCATCTATTTCTGTGACAGCTGAGAAGGTCAAGTCGCCAAATTGGCAGAAATTTGCTCTATTAAAAAAAATAATCCATAGAGGGAAATTGGAAGGAATCTAGATTCTCTGTGTCATCAGGATCCACACAGCAATTATATCTGAAAAGAAATTTTACTCAGAATTTACCTTCAAAGCTGCAAAGAAAACACCGGTTGAGAATCTATGACAATCTTCCCTGGGACTGACTCTCACTATGTGCGGTAGAAACTGCAGGAATTGCATTTGTAATGTTATCCAGCTGGGGCAAGCTAATTTTCAAAACATTTAATTATCTCAATTTATGCTGGGGGGATTTTAACACTTATATTAAACTTCCCCCACCAATCTTCCCAAGGAGTCTTACAAGTTCCTGACTTCCTTGGCCATCATAAGCTTGTCTCAATTAATAGCTGACTCTACACATCCAGTAAGAAACATTATTGTTTTGCTCAGAATATCTGCGGACAGAAGAATTTAGGGGGGGAAATGTTAATAAGAGTTTGCTCTGGTTCTGACAATCTTCCCTCAGAGTTGGTTTAATTAATTCAGAAGAGAAGCAACATGTTTACTGGAAATTTTATTCACTGAAACTCAGATTTAAAGTAAACTCTATTCTCATCAAGATTCTAGCTAGTGAAATGGCCCTTTCACATAGAGCCGAAGCCTAATAAAGTCATAAATCAAAGTTGTGTGTTTTGTAGTGAAGTCCAAGAGTGCCAAAAGCTGCTCTGAAGCCAAAGCTAAAAAGGCTCATTTTTTATTGCGTGGTGGTGACAATGTCCAGGATTTCAGGCTTCCAAAACCCCAAGCATTTCCTGTTTGTGCTGCTGGGCAGAACATGATCTCCAAGGGAGTAGAAGTTATATTTGCCTGACTGGACGTTAGGGGCACTCGTATTCTACTTTATCACTGCAGCAGATGAATGAGATAACACCTGGCCTTTCGGCTTCTTTGAAGAATTCATTCCATCCAAAGCAGAAATGAATGCTAGACACAAGTCCAAAAGCTTCTGTTTCCCGCAAGTGCTTTCTTTATCAGTTGCCTGATCCTGGAAGTCACTGCAGGACATGCCAGCCCAAAGCAACTGAAAAGGCAAAAATACTCCCATGCAATCAGAGAAAGCCATCAGGCGCCACAAAAATATCATGGATATTTACAGACCAAAAGGGAAATTCAAAACCACTAGGATTAAAAAGCCCTTTTCCTTTAGTGAAAAAAAAACCCCTACACTATAAAGGAATGCATTTATTCACATGTATTCCTTCTTATCCCAGTTTATTTTCTTTGGTATAAACCCCGTGTCAAAAGTAGTAAATTCCAAAGGCATTCCTCTTCACTCTTCATGATAAAATCAACTATGATTTTATAATTAGTAAAGATTTATGAAAAAAATAGTAAAACTGTAATGTAATGGACTGGCCAAAAGAGGAATGTACTTAAGGAAAGAATGACCACATAACTAGAAGTTATGCTGCAAGGTCAAATTCAAGGCTTTTTAAGGCAAAATTATTTTAGGATGATCAGCTGCTTCTGCCATAAAACTAGTAGTTTTCTATTTGAATGGTGACATAAGAAACCTGTGGTCCTCAAAGCCCTCCCTTTAACCGTCAGATCTCAGACCTATTCTGAAGAACAATTTTCCTAAGCTAGACTGTCTAGCTGCAGAAAAATACAGAAGTGCAATAACAACGATATCAGCCTCCCCTAATTTGGTGTGATCTAGAAGTATTGGACTTATTCCCATAAACCCCACTAAAGCGGCTGGGCTACCCAGGAAATGGCAGGGAGCACCTAAACATCTGGATGAGGGAAAGTATCTTATGAATTGCTCAGAACGTTATGAAGAATTCAAAATTATTTCTCATCCACTTAGGGCTAAATGTAAAGAGAATTGCTATCTCATAAAAAAGCTGCCCTATTATACCTTAGCTATGAACTAAAGACATGGCAGCAGCTGTATTAAACATGCCTGAGGTTGAAAATGCAACCCAGATTGAAAAACAATTTGTACATTCTCCCAAGAGATCCCATCCCATGTATTAAATGAGGTTTCTACAGTCATATGTTACGGTGCCCTTATCTCTCATTCCATGCTATAAGAAGCAGCACAAGGCAACGAGAATATCTTTCAAAAATATTCACACTTTAGAAGTTCTTATCCTTTAGAACCCCAGATTGGGCAAACTGCAGCAACAGCCATAGTAAATAAAGTGCTTCCTGCCCAATTTCCATAACCTCGAGCAGAGAAATACAAGCGGAGGCAACAGATTGGCCATACTGAAAGCAAGGATATGTGCATCCTGTTGCTTAAACAACTAGATCACAGATGGGCAACATTTGTAGGATGAAGGACAAGTGAGCCTCTCACCCTTGTGAAGGACACAGAGCAGATTTTAATTCTCTCTCTCTCTCTCTCTCTTCTAACTGGCAAAATATTTCCACTCTTATTCTTGAAAACTACCTGTTACTCTGAAAAACAGGTCAAAATCATGCCTTTGAATTTTGACACAGCAATCTCGGAGGGCTATATGCAGTCTCTAGTTCCTTATTCCTAAGACATTGAAAACCTGCAGCAAACAGAATCATTCCTCATATTAATCTAATAGGAGGTTAATAGCAAAGGAGTGACATATCCTTGAAAGCGTTGCCCTTCTTATTACACCGAGCTTGACAGTCTTGGCAAAACTTACTTGGCAAAACCTCCACCATCAGTGAAAGGGCTCCAATGTGAAGCAAAGGGTGCTCCGGCTGGTATTCTCTGCCAATGCATAAAACCACAGATGAGTAACTTCTCAAGAGGAATCAATACCTCCAAAACAAAGGTTAGCACTGCTGCAATTGAAATGGAAGCTTTACAGACACGGTAACAATTGAGGCAAAGCAATTTCCAAGTTAGACACAGGACTGGCTTAGTTCTGGTCTGGAAAATTCAAGCAAGACACGGGGGTAGCACATATAGTAGGTATCAGGAGGAGAAGCCAGGCTTCAATCTCACATAGCCAAAAGCAGCAGCCATAAAGTTTTGAAATACAGTAATCCTCACTTAACGTTCATTTTTTCAGCGGTCACTTGAAGTTACGACGGCACTCAACAAAGGGACTTATGACCAGTCCCTAAAGTTCCAGCTACTGCAGCACTCCAGTCGTCTCAACAACAAAATTCAGTCCCATTGGGGTAAGACCTGCATTTATGACCACTTTCTGGCCAGCCATTCATTGCTATCAGCTGCCTCCACTGCCTGACCTTGCCATACCCGTTGCACCACACACCACTACTGCAATGGCCACAGCATTCTTTTGTAACAACTCATTTTGTGCTGGTGTAGTCAGGGCTTCTCCTGCACCCTGCCCAGGGCTTTCTTTTGTGAAAGGAGCAGGGTGCAGGAAAGAAGGTCCCAGCTGTGCCAGGGCTAAAGAAGAACCATTTTAGCTTCTTTGTGAAAGAAAGCTCTGGACAGGGTGTGAATAGATGCCCTGGGTGGGGTGTGAGAGAAGTCCTGACTGCACCAGTGCAAAAGAAAGGGAGAGTCAGGGGTGTGGGAAGTTCAAAGGCAGGCAGAGGACACAATCCCTTACCTTACTGAATCTCAGAGCTTGGAGGGATAAACCAGGAATGGCTTGGACTGGGGAGTCTCTGCCTAATGACCAGTGGGATTCAGTTAAAAACAGCAATGGGAATTGATGGGATGGCTGTTGCTAAACAATGAGATACAGAGGAGGGGGAAAGAAACTGATAACCTCATTAATGCTTTCAAATTCTGGATGCCTTAGCACAGTGGTGGCGAACCTATGGCACGCGTGCCAGAGGCGGCATCCGAAGCCCTCTCTGTGGGCACACGTGCCGTTGCCCCAGCCTTGCCTCCCCCCGTGACTCCCTTCTCACCAGCAGCCCCCTTGGAGGAGAGTTGCCCCCAAGCGTGGCCCATGCGGAGCAGCACAGCCAAGGACATGGCAGCCAGGCAGCGTAGACGGGATGGCCTCACGCCCCATCGTGCACAGTTGATGCTGTGGGGCGTGGGCAAAGAGCGTGGCCACCACGGCACTGCTGGGCTGCCTGGGCGATCTGCAGCGGGCCCTAGAGGCGGTGAGTGGCTCTGCAGGCAGGCAGAGTGGGGCCGGGGTAGGGGGTGGAGTGGGGCCGGGCCAGTTTTTGGGCACTCGGTCTCTAAAGGTTTCGCCATCACTGCCTTAGCAGAATAGCAATGAGATACACAATTGGAGTTCAGCCACAATTATGGAATATATTTTAGATCAGTCTTTTTTAACCTCAGCAACTTTAAAATATTTGGTTCAACTCGTAAAATTTCCGAGCCAGGATTATTGTGACACCAACATAAAAAACAATATTAATTGTGTATCTTTAATCTAATAAAGTCTACTAACTCTTCTTTCTTTCCTTATTAAATGTAATATGATACACTACTTATTAGAATCAAGAATATATGGAAGGAGTTACTGCAAATTAAAATTACAGAGAGAGCAGAGAGAGGAAAAATTAATCAATTCATACCATTTCATCCCGGGCTTCTGTCTCTTTCCTTAAAGGTGGTTCAAACTGCAACTTGTCAACTACAAAACATGTATATTTGCAATTTTAAACAAGACATTCTCTTGTAGTAGATTTTAAAAGTTCAAACACTTGCATGCCCACATAGACACACAAGCACAATTATAAAAGAACCCAACCTATCAAAAGCTCAAGTATATCAGCATTGTTAACTGAAACTCTCTTTTGTAAAATAATAATTAAAATGCAAGGTACGTGATTATTGTCTTCTTATATGATAATACTAAGGAAATTAGAATATACTGTTCTGCATTAAAATATAAATAATTTATATTAATTGATTTGTTGGCTTCCCCAGGATATTTTTTTCCTTCTTTTTTTAATATGGAACAGTATGTTGCACAATAGTAAACCGTTTGGTGGATTGTGAGTTCCAGCCCTCTGTTAGGCATGAAGCTAAACAGATGATTTGAGTCTGGTCAGACTCTTTCAGCCCTAGAAAGAAGCAGTGGCAAATCACTTCTGGAAATATTGCCAAGCAAATGGCATGGAATTATCCAGGCGGCCACCAAGCGCATCTCTGTGCGTACACCCACAAATAATATTTACAAATGGTTAAATGATATGGATTTTAATAATAGAGGGGTTTTTTTGCAAATGTCAAAATACCAATTTTCTGGGCTAATAGTGATATTGTGGTAAATATTTGGCCAAAACACAGAGCAATGAAGCCTTTTCAGTAGGCCTGCTTCCTCTTTCTGATACAACAAACCAATCATAAATGAATTTACTGTGAACAAAAGTTGCTCGGCCTATTTTTCCAAGATTTTGCTCAATGGAAAACCAGAATGATTAAGGAAGTTTGGCACTAACTGGGGGGGGGGACATTTCCCCCCCTTTTTTTCTTGGAGTTCCTAGACAACAGCCCAAGGAGATACCCTCAATTCAATTTATAAGTTCAGAATATTTTATTCCATTCCTCAGAACACCCTTTTCCAGGGATACTGAGAATTGTAGACCATCCAATCTAGAAGACATCAGAGTGGGAAAGACCACTTTAAAGATAAACATTTCTATTTGATTTAGTACATGACAGGGTGAAGAATAGTTTACTTTAAAAACATATTGGAAACTCACAATTAATTTCAGATGCTGTCCTTTCGGCTCTAACATTTCTGTTGGTAGAGCGAATCGTGTGGCGAATAATAGGGTGTGGCTACAGGATTAAAAAAAGCAGACATTCAGAGCGCCTCCTGAACTTAAAAAGAATTTACCTCACAATTGCAAAACTGACATGTTTTTGCAGCTGGGATTTTTTTTCTACCTGTGGTTTGTACAAAGTTTCCAAGAGTTCATTCAAGTTCCTGGCTTTATGGTGCTTTACATAATAATTTTATTTTTCAAGACAATTTTAAAAAAACCCTAAATAAATATTTTTTTAAATAAAGACCTTTACAAAAATTTGCAATTTAAGATTATTACACTGTCTATAATAATCTGATGCTAATTTATATCATGGATGTAAAGCAACATTTGCATTTTTAAAGAAACTACACAAGTTGTCAGATTGCCCAGGGATTTAAAACAGGAGAAAAATGAGATTTTTTTTTAAAAAAAGATGCCAAATAGAGCTTAGAATTGGATAATTTCATATCAGAGATTTTTAATAACTTCCTAATCTGGTATTAATTAATAATATTACATGGTAGAATATTCAAGAGTCTGTAATTTATGCACTCTTCTAAGCAACTGCAGGTATCCTTCAACTTGCTATCATTCGTTCAGTGACCATTTAAAATTAAAACAACCTGTGCCTGAGGTAATAGCTGTTACAGCATGATGAAAATTGGGGGAGGGAGGGTCTGCCCATACTTATGACCAGAGGGTGCTGCAACTCATGATGTTTCATTTAATGGCCACTTCATTCTACCACCAAGATTCCAGTTCCAATTGTGGTCGTAAGTTGAAGACTGCTTATAAACAGTAGCTTTCTGTGCCAGTTGAAGTCTTCAAATCATCTTCAGGGACAGACCCACCAAGAGCACTACGTAATTCTAAATAGCCAAGAGAGCATTCCTTGCCTGGGTGTCCCTATCAATCCCTGAGAATGAAACAGCCCAGCTGACACATTGCTTTTGTCAACGCTGCAAATACTATATATTCTTGCTTTGACAATATGCTATTGTCTATTTCATCCAAAATTAAGGTAAGGAAATTGCCAGGAAGAACAACTCACCTCAAAATCATCATCATCTGCCTCAGTATAATGGGGGTGGTTATCAGGATTGTTCACTTTGTCCAAGAGCTCAACAGCCAGAGAACGAGAAAGTCCAGGCTGCCCAACAAAGCTATGCTAAAAAAAAAAAAAAGTATAAGAGAATAGATCTAAAATATTTGTATTGCAAGTTAAAGCATGGGTTGTTGTTTTTTTAAGCCTTTTTTTCTTAAAAAGAATTAGCGGCAACTAAGACTCTTGGAGAGAACATTCCATACTCAATGCAACTAACAAACCATTCAGTCTAAACCAGAAACCCACTAGCAATCATTTGTATAATGTTTTTCTTTTAAGCATATATGTAAGAAGTAACTTGTTACACACATTCTATAATTGTCCCAAAGTTGCTTTTTTCAAAAGGCAACTGGATTTTTATTTTCCTTGAAGACATTTCACTTCTCATCCAAGAAGCTTCTTCAGTTCTGACTGAATGGTGGAAGATGGAGGGATTTATATTCTTTGCACTCATCTGGCTGTTAGCATTCTTTCTGAAAGTCGTTGAGGCCACTTGGAGATTTGTCTATGCCCTCAGGGTCACCTGAATACTGCAAATGGGTGTGGAACCTCCTTGAAACTGCTGAAAGAACTTAAACAGGAGATTGGTGGTGTCATATCCCTCCTTCTCTGTTGCGAGAGGGATATTCAACCTTAATGTAGATGGCCTCTTTGACCCCTCTTTCAAACCAGTGGTCCTCTCTATCCAGAATGTGGACTTTGCTGCCTTCAAAAAAGTGACCTTCCCATAATTCTAATTTACATAATGTCCTCATTAATCTGAGAAGTTTGCTTCTTTCTGTGATTTCCAGGCAAATTTTCTTTGTTACAAAAGAAATCTAATTTCATCAATACTGCATGTAAAAAGCACAATTTGGATAGCAGGCTCGACATATAACACAGTCTTAACTCAAAAGTATTTATTATGGAAACAAGAGACTTCTGCATGCCTGACATTTCTTTAATAGTTACATTTTATAGCCTTTTCAAAAACAGAGGGCCTCTTGATCTTCTGAAAGCTTAAATGTTTGCTCCATTAGTTGGGATGAGACTTTCATGTTAACCCCCTCCTAAAAAAAAAAAGGGAAAAAAAGAAACATACTTACTGTCAGAAGTCTGTCAGCAGTTGGCCTCTTCTTTGGATTTTTTGTAAGTGCTACTTTGACAAAATTATGGAATGTTGATGACCTGTAAAGCAAACGAAAGATGTAATTTTTATAAAATTGGTAGTTAACACAGAACTAATGTATAATGGACTAAACAGACCTAAATGGAAGTAGCAAGTGTACCCTCTCCCAGCTGGTTAACAATTTTCAGTATTCCATTTCATATTCTTGCTCCAGTTATGTCTCATTCCTCAGGATAAAAGTTTTTTTCCTCTGGTATTTTAACCTAACCTCAATTTTCTGGCAGCCCACTCGCAAAAAAGGAACACCACTCAAGACTCACCATTTTGTTTTTTCTTTTAGCTTTGGAGGTTGAAAGTTGCTTTTAGACATTAGAAAGAGAGCTCTGAAAAAGAGAAGTAGGCAAGTTTAGAAAATGCAATTTTCCTGGGTATTGTAATCCTCTTCCTTTGCTTTAACTTTTGGACAGTTACAATGGAGATGCCCCTGTCTTAACTACAGACCTCATGGGATGAAGGTCAAACATAGGTGGTTGCAACTCTCCAAGCTCAATTGCTGTTATGCCCACAGCCCAGATGTCACAGAGTTGGTTGTAGCCACCGTTCTTTTCTACAGCTGCCACTTCTGGAGCCATCCTTAACAAGAGAAATAATACTACCAATTAGAGAGCAAGAATAGGTCAATCCTTCTCTAACAACCTAGATTCACTGGGCAGCATATTATGAGTATATGTCTGATACATATAAAACAGCCTATATTTTTTGACAACCCATCAAGCCAAATGAAGCTGTCATGCATCTTGGCTTATCATTGTTCTGTCCCTGGTTTCCTAAATCCAGCCAGCTAAAAGCAGGTTTCTCAAGTTCCAAGTGAGCTGATGTGAGACATTTTTTACTTTATGGGTCACAAGCTGTGCATGCCTGAACCTAATGCTGTTTATATTGATTCAACAATCATGGAACTTGAGGAATGCATCGAAAGTTTTGACAGACATTGTTCTGAAGATAATTCTCAAGCTTCAAGAAATGACAATCTGGCCAATTCAAAAGCACACGAGATCAGCTTTTCCATAAATAAAGACTATCTGCAAGCAAATTCAAACATACTTCTGTTATCATAAAGACTAGGAGATTTGTTTGTCAGAGTTACATATGTGTGTTTCTTTATAGTAAAGTACAGCAATTGAAATTCACAAAACACTATTACAACTTGTTCGTTAGATTGACTACAAACCTATACATCAATGTTTGTATTCCAAAACCCATTTTAGCTGTTTCTTTTGCTATAACAGCTGCCTAAGCATGTGAACAATGCTGTGTATGAAATGAAATTCATAGATATCCGCTACAGCAAAACATATTTCCTGGATTGTGAAAATTATTGCATGTGTTTCTGTTTTCATGTTACCCTCGTTTGACTTTTAGCGGACCCAAAGCTGTGTTTAGCAGAAGATATTCCACATAGAGACTGTCTATCCAATAACTATGTAGAGGGATGCAATAATCTACAAACGGCTATTTTCAATGTAGCGTAACCTTAGTTGAATGATTCTATTTCAGATCCTTTATAGCACAGTCAGGAAACCCTGGTTCAAGGTCAGTGGCCCTTATTTAAATAATCCCAAGGAACTTATTACCAGTAAGGGGTGCCAATAAATGACTTCCTCTTTGCGATCGTGGCTGTTATTTTTGCTGCTACGCCAAAGTCAGCTGCAGAAGGAAAAAAATTGAAGACATTTCTAGAAGTTGTCTTCCTTTTCATGCATATATCCAAGAAAATATTTAGATCTTTGTTCTCATCAGGGGTATGTGAACGCCAGATCCTTCAGGTAAGTAGATAATATTTAAGGGTTCATCTAGAGCTAGTGCCAGGAATAAGAACTTTACTTCCTGATTCTGCTACAGAAATCAATCTTAGTAAATAAGTAAATGAATGGAACTAAAGTTACAGACATTTAATATAGGACAGCAGAATGGAAGCAAGTTCTGCTAAGACAGTGCTGTGCCTTCTGGTTATTTTGGCCAAGACCTCATATAAGCACCTGCCACAACTTGGTTCATTGTTTAGTAAACAAGTATTAAGCATATCTGCTGCATCAGGGACAGATTGTCAGCTCAAACAAAAATAACACTCTGTCCCAATGCCTTAAATTTCTTAGGCCTTAGATTATAAATAGAATATAGTTAAAATTCTCTCATCTTTCTTCTTGCCTCCAGAACAGTATGACATCTCACATTCAATTTTCCATTATCACTACAAGCATTTTGAAGCTTGAATTCAGATTGTTGTGAGATAAAAGCCTTGGCATGGGAAAAAAAATTATGTGGCTACCGGGAGTCAATACCCACTTAATGGTACATAATCATCAACCAAAGCCTTGCTGACCACACAATTTGGCTGGCTATTGCCCTGATTATAATTCAATGTGGCAGATCTAGACTTAAATTCACCCTCCATCAAAGTTTCTAGATGGGTAACATTACTGTGTTATTTTGTTCTGTCTTGTAAAATGGAAAAAAAAAAGAACTGACATGATAAATTGTAGGTCTGAACCAATGTTCTAAGATTCCCCTTTATGACTAGCATTCATTACCAAGATTCATGGTAGATATAAAAAGGGTGATTCTGAATATATTCAAATATATACATTTTCTTTCACTACTAAGTAACAAAAACTTACTCCTATGCATTTTGGACTAGGGGATGTAAACTTCAGGCAGTTCAGCTAATACATGAAATGGAGATCTGCCACTGTGTTTTGTAAGGAAATAAACATCCTTAAGATTAAGGAACTATAATGAAACCGTAGTTTGCCAAAATTCAATACAATTCTATAGACCTACAACTAGAAATCAGATTTTCTTTAAAATGTTATAATCCCCGCTGCCCCATATGTAAGAGAGTTCTAAAATGCATCCTTCATTAAGGTAAAGAAGAAAACTACTAAAACAATGATTAAAACCAGAGTTTTTACTGTGCTCTGTATTTGGCAAGATTTAATCATTATTGCTTTTTATGAGGTTTTTATCTTCTTGCTATTGTATTTGAAGTTATATTTATTATGTCCTGAAGACCTCAATTTGTTATATTTCATTGTTTTTATTGCAATGATCTACTTGTTTACCAAATATTGTTTTTAAGGACTGTATATTTTATATTTTTAAACTGTAAGCCATTTTTTGTTGATTAAACATTATTTTTTTCTCTAGATGATGATGATTATAATATTTCAAGAGAAACTCCAAAAGCATACCATTTTCCTGTTTGCAAGACAGGGGTATACTGTACCATAAAAATGTCAGATTGTTCAGCAGCCCTGTTGTTCCTCCTTACCTTGTGTAAGAGAGACTTACACAACTCACCTTCCTTTTTTTCTCTAGTTAATTAAGTTCTTTAACCAAATGAAATCTCTAATAAGGTTGTGGGACTGCCATTTTAAGGCTAGAGAAGGATTGTTTTGAAGATATCATAGACATTAGCCAAATTGGTGTCCTCCAGACACTTGAATTATATCTCTTATAAACCTACCGGCTTATAAGACATATAATTCAAGTGTCTGCAGGACTCCAATGGTTCTGGCCAATGGTCAGGAGTTCTAAGAGATATAGTATTTGGTGTAGTGGTTAAGGCATCGGGAGACAGGGAGTTCTAGTCCCAACCTTGGGCCAGTCTCTTTCTTCCAGCCCTGGGAAGGAGGCAATGGATAACCACTTCTGAAAAACCTTGTCAAGAAAACTATAGGAACTTGTCCAGGCAGTCTCCAAGAATCAGACATGACTGAATGGAAGAAAAAAAACAAAAAGCTAAGTTACCCACCTAGCTTGATGTCTCCGTGGTCAGTCAACAGAATATTTGCACCCTAAAATACAAAAAGTTTTCAAAAGTATAAATTATTTACTACCCTGTAGAAACTATTTTAGAGTAAATATAGGGAAATGGTGGCTATCTAGGTATTGATGAACTACAACTCCTAACTGAGCTGAAGAAGCTTCTTGGATGAGAAGCGAAACATCTTCAAAGAAAAACAAGAAAATCCAGTTGCCTCTTGAAAAAGCACCTTTGGGACAACCATGACCTGGATGACTGGGAATCTCCATAGACATACAACTCCAACCATCTACAGGACCAATAACAAAGGATACTGGGCTTCTGTTCTTCAACATTTGAATCATAGACCTCTCACTACTGGGCCACAAGCTAAAGATTTTTCTTAAGAGTCACATACCTTAATGTCCCGATGCATTTTGCCTTTCATGTGCAAATAAGCAAGTCCCTGAAAAAAGAGTCAAAAAAAAGAAACAGTAAGGGTATAATTTCTATTACAGAATGCAGAATTACGGAGTTGGAATGGATCTTGGAGGTCATCTAGTCCAATCCCCTGCTCAAGCAGAAGATCCTATACCATTCTAAACAAATGGCTATCCAAACTCTTTTTAAAAACTTCCAGTGATGGGGCATTCACAACTTCTGAAGAAAAGCTGTCCCACTGATTAATTGGTTTGATAAAGAGAAAAGACTAATTAAATAACTGTAAAGGATAGTGGAAAAGGCTATTCAAGAAACTCAAGGAAAAGGGTTACTCCTAAATTGGTATTAATAAGACATGCAATGTTTTTGATAACAAAGAAAGGAACTTGATGTTGAGAACAATTGCAGTAGTAAGACTGGCCCCAAAATGAAAATAATTGAAACTTATTTGCTTAGCAAATGGCTGTAGAAAAATGTGGCATAATATGATTATTTGGAAATCAGCCATTACACGTTCTTGGGCAGGAAGAAGTTGTCCAATCCAAGTGTTTATGAGTAAGTGGCTGCTATCCATTAATTACTAGTATAAGAAATGTCTACATGGTAACATAAAAGCTCAAGCTGTGTATTTGTTGCAGATAACTTGTTACAATTAGTTCTGAATATTGTTACACTAAGTGCCAAAACTTCATGTTAAATATAGTCCTAATACAGTTGATGTACAGGTAGTCCTTGCCTAACAATTACAACTGGGGCAGGAATCTCTGTTGTTGAGTGAAGCGGTCACTAAGCAAGACATCATGTGATTGTTTCATTCAATGACCACAATCTCAGCACTCCCAGTTGTGGTTTTTTAAGCAATCTTGCAGATTGTTAAATGGACAAAGTCTAGGTAAGAACTGTAAGCAGGATTTTCAGATCCTGAGCAGGGAGATACTTGTGCATGACCAGCGCTGAGCTTTCCCCGGGCTTCTCTATCCCCAAGGCATCCCCTGCTCCTTAATGTACCTTACTGTGCTGTCTCTCTCTGCCTTCTCTATTGTAACACGGTTTCAACCGTAAAATTTTCTCACTCTTTTCAGATGAACACCTTTAAACTGGAATTTGTAGAGACAGAAACTACACCAATTCTGTGCAGCTAACTATGCAGAAACATAGAAATATTAAGTCTTAACCTTGTTCTTATGTCTTTATCCATGTTGTTGTTCTCTCATTTCACTGTTTCACGTGAAAATTAAGAAGAAGCTGTTATGGAACTGATTTAAGGTACTGCTTCAGAAGTTGATATTTGCTTTGAGATGCATAGAGATACTTTAAAGACACAGGCAAGATACCTGTTTGCTTTCAATTAGCACAGAGCAATAACTGATGGGAGTATGAACTGTACTTCTCTCCCCCCCCGCCAGTTTAAACCCCAGCTCAGCCCAAAGAAATGATTTGGTGACCTGAAGCAATTCATTACCTGCAATGTCTCTCTGCAAACATAGGCAATCTGTAACTCTGACAGTGGCCCCGTTACTGAAAGGAAAAGCAAATTTACAAATGCTGAAATAGGCAGCAGCAAATTATTGATTAAACTACATCTAATTAAAGCATCAAACAACCCAAAGAAACAACCCAACATTACTGTAATGGATATGGTGCGCCAAAAAATAAAGGATACAAAAGATTAGGCCACAAATTCATCCAAACATGGCACTCAATTTTTCACAGTGGTATGCCACATGAATTTGGATGCACATACAGCTGTGATGACATCCCCTTTGCTTATTTCTGGTGCCAAACAAGTTTAAATGGCCTGATTTTATTATAAAGAACTGCTTTCTCTGAACCTAGCTATTCACTGAGATCTTCCCATAGGCATTTGCATGTGCCAAGAAGATAACTACTTTGGGTGGGTTCTTTTCTGTGATGGTATCACAATTATGGAAGCATTCCCCAGAAATACATGTTGTTATCTGCCTCTCTATATTTAGGTCCCAAACTTAGAATTATAGTGGCAAATACCAGCTAATTTTTTTGTCATTTGTTTGTTGGTTTTGCAGTTGCCAAGTCTTACCATGGCTATGTATAACTATTACTTAGGGTGACATGTAAGCATCTGTGTAGTTGTGAGAATGCTGGAAGCATTTTCAAACAATTGAAAAGCTTGCTGTTAAGACTGAGGCAAATTGTGATTGATGTTAAATAAGTGTATTAAAAACATTAATTAATGCATTATCAATGATTCAGATCAATGCTCTGATAAACAGTAATGTCAGTTTGGCCATGAGAAAGTATGGTTAACTGAAAATAAAAATAGATGCTTCCATTCTCTGCCTTGTGATTTTACCAGACACTGTTCTATTTTTTATTTTTTTTACAGTAAAATTGCCATGAATACAAATTGGAGGAAAACGGGGAAGAAGAGGGACACAATAAAAGTAACATAATAAATAAAATGCTCAGATACCATGGTAAATGTCTTGAAGGGACCCTCCTCCACAGTACTCCATGCAAATCCATAGCTTCTCATGGCTGAAATAAAGCAGAAATGATCAGAATCACTATTCTAAAACAATCCAAATTGAACAATGTGTATTTACCATTCAATTTATTGTTCAGACTGTAGGTCACAAGAATTTCCTTTTACAAAACAACAGCAACCGAGCAGCTTTTATATGTGGCATGCTGTTATTTCTCACCTGCACCTAAAGCTAAGGACAGATGGAGGCTTTTCAATTATCAGATGCCCTTAAATGTGTGCATGAAATGAGACCAACTCTAGTGAGGGATGAAGTTCAATGAAATGCTGGATTCTGGTGAACTGGAAACAGATCACTTTACATTCAATGGAAAAGTTCATTGTTATGTCATCATAGGCAAAGAAAAGCATCCACACCTAGCAATAAAGCTTTAGCAAACTGCATTTTGCAATAGACAGCCAACTCTCAAACCACAGCTTTCATTTGCAGATGAATTTGGCTACCTCCAGGAAGTTGGCATGGAAAATAATTCAGACCAAGATAAAAAGCAAGTGATCTTACCTGAGATAGCTTCCAAAGTATGCTACTATGTTACAGTGTTTGCATTCTTTAACCATATAGATTTCTTGCTGTATTAATGAGAAATCATCTCCTGGAAAACAGATTGTGTAAATCATTATGATAGATTTTGCTAATTTGGAAAGGGATCTTTGTTCATTACTTCGATGTTGTGATTAACTGAATCTGCATCAATTGCATGTAACAATAGTTTGGGGGTAAAAGGTAAAGTAAAAGATTCCCCTATCCAGTCATCCAGTGCTCATCTCCAGTCCAATGCTCATCTCCGTTTCTTAGCCAAGGGAGCCAGCATTGGCCAAAGACACTTCCGCGGTCATATGGCCAGCATGACTATACGCCAAGGCATCTGGAACACTGTTACCTTCCCACCAAAGTGGTACCTATTTATCTACTCACATTTGCATGCTTTTGAACTGCTAGGTAAGCAGGAGTTTTGGGAATAGGGGATACGTCAACACATTATCTGCTTTTAGTTGTGAGCATAATTTGTAGTGGCAACTGTCCTGGAAGATGCATTCTTTCCCAACTCAGAAAAATTCAAACCTTAAAATACTTACATCTGTCTTAAATCTGGCAGGATTTGCTAGTGATATGTCTACAAAGTTTGCAAATTCCATTCAATCCTGCCTCATCCCCCTCCAACCTATTCCCAAATCCCATTGCAGACAGTTGAGGAAACAACAACAATAAAAAAAAACTTGGAAGGGACCTTGGAGGTCATCTAGTCCAACCCCCTGCTCAGGCAGGAAACCCTATACCTGTGGTGGCGAACCTATGCACGTGTGCCACAGGTGGCACGCAGAGCCCTCTCTGTGAGCATGCGTGCTGTCACCACAGTCCTAGGCCTTCAGCTGGGTTTTATAAAACCTTTTCGCTTTAGGCCTCTGCTGCCGTGTGCAAAAAAAAAAAAAAGGTTCAATCAATTTCAACTTCTCACGGGAAAAAAAAAGACCTCGCAAAGTTGGAATTGATTGATTGAACTTTTTAGTCCCACCCAGTCTGCCGTTATCACTGCAGCCACGCCCACCCGGCACCCAATGATACATAAGTGGGTTTTGGGTTGCAGATTGGGCACTCGGTCTCTAAAAGGTTCGCCATCACTGCCCTATACCATTTCAGACAAGAGTTAGGAAACATTCAAGAGTTAGGAAAAGGAAACAGGAGCTTTCAAACTGAAGACAAACTTCAATCAGTTTCAAGAGAAAATTTTTGAGAGGAATATTTTTTTCTGATCACAACACTATGAACTGTACAGTATAGTAAATCTGGCAAATTGTTTCAATATCAAATTAAATATGAGAGGAAATTAAGGATATTACTGTCAGGTCCCAGGAGAGACCTAAAAAGTGAAGAAATAGCTCAATTTGTAAAGACTAAAATGGATGAAGTACCACAGTTTAATTAAGTTGATTAAAAACAGAAGGAAATTTTTACAGTATGACATCAAAGCACCATGTTCCACAAATTAAAGAATTTTTCCACATTCAACAACCAGTGACGTACTTTGTCTGCGTTTCTAATCTATAACTGACAAAAATCTTTTGAATACGGTGGCCTATGAATCACTCAATCAATCAGTCTCGATCTGCAGTCTGTCACCATGATGCCATATCTTAGTATTTACGCTAGAGTTACATCCACATTTTATCATGTATATTTAGTAAAGAAATTGGATGATGATTTATACATTCCAAAGGTTCCTTACCGTGTTTCATTATCTCATTATATAAGCCTCATAAAACAGGAAGGGAAAACTTTATTTGAAAAAAATGCTTTAGTATACAGTATCCCTCCAAAAGTGCAGATGCAAGTAGCTGGACCAGCAGTTTTGCCCATTTTCATAAATTTAGTAGTATCAACAATTTATTGGAACAGTAATAGTGCAACAAATTCAAACATCTGACCTTAAGAAACTCGTTAATATTCAAACATCCATTTGTTCATTAGAAGTTATCAAATCAAGCTAGTATTACTAAGTATAAAAATAAAAAGTTTTATCAAATTACATTATACGCATTGTCCCGAACTGTACAAACAACACTATTTGTCACTCTAAAACCAATAGTTTCCCCATTTTTCTGTCCCTTTATTTCTTCATTGCAACATAATGAGTTTACATAAAATGCACCGATTAATGACTAAGTTCCAGTCTAACAGAAACAAAATGCAGCAAAAGACTAGATCAGTGCCCTTGATTGTTTACAGAACACTATCAGTGTACAAATTAGCTTAGAATATTTATGACTGCAAGAACCTTCCCAGCAATTCTATGAAGTTGAAGCATTTATAGGCTCCAGAAAGGATTTCTGCCTATTTGGCAGTACAGCTCAACTTGATGAGTTTTAGTAGCACACTGAAGGTGTGTACAGGAAAGTATACACACTTCTCTACAACCATGTGTTGCCTGGGGAGGAGGAATGCTGCTATCCTGCCCCAACAAGAGAAATAGGTCAGCTGGTGGGAAACACCGTACACAACATACACAAGTAACAATATCAGAAGAACTAGAATCTATAAGCAAACAGAGGTTGAAGCAGAGGAGTACCCCAGAACAATGATACTCGTCTATGGTTATTGGGGGAAAGGTGGGGGGTTCAAAATGATCCCAGTACAGGTATGTGAAAAGGAAACTGGCTCATGTAAAAACAGGAGAAAGAAACAGCACAGAACAAGAACCTGAAAAAGCAACCAAGCGCACATGTAAGATTCTTAACCAAAAATTCCCAAAGCACATTGCCTAATCAATGTGAATTGTACTCCACTTATATTTTTACATCAAAACATAATGCACCCAGGGCATCATTTTACTGCTTTTCCAGTCTTCATCGTGACGGCTTTTTCTCTAGCTGAGAGCAAAAAGGGCCAGCCACCCTACATGCCTCAGTAACTGGAAAATGCACACAAGCCCTAAAGGATTGGAAACATCTTGTGAAGCCTGCCAGTTGCAATTCCTCTGCTTTTTTCCTCTGATAAAATAGCCTGGATACGCAGAACCATTCCAATTTGCAAACTGGTTGCATCCAGTGAACTTCCTCAGGGAAAGATTAAATAAGACTAGGAGGACTGGTGTGGTAGGAAGGTATCTTTGATGATTTGCCATGCTGTGAAAGAGATCACTTCTAGCTTCCGTAGATTCTGTGATTCCTCTGGCACTCAAAGAAGACTCAAGAAAAGGCTTCACTCTCATTGTCACCCGCTAGTATGAAATGTAGCGAGAGTCACTCCTACAATTGGGTTTGAAAGGGAATTAGAAAATTAACAGAGAATGCAATTGTCAGTGACTGCTAAGCATGGTGTCTTGTATTTTTTGGCATTTTTTAAAAGCAAAATTTAAGAGAGAGCCTTTACTGTTCTGTTTGCTGGTCTCTTGTCTTACTAGCTACTGAAGAAGCAGGAAGCAGGCTGGACCAAACACCCCCATGGTCAAACTTAGCTTTAATTCCTCTCGTATTTTTATGATGAGGTAATGGGACAATAAGGCTTTTGCCTAAGTTTGTGGCAAGCTGCTTTTAAGGATACATCAAAACATTATGTAGTTTATGCCTACCTCTTCTTTTAAGGCTTTTCAAAGCAAGTTGAACAGTTGCCACAGGCAATTTTTTCCAAGATAATCTTTACAAAAAGAGGATGCTTGGTCGGAGGGAAAGTTTTGTCCATATAAAGAACAGGAACTGTAGCTAAATTGGCCCATGACACAAATGAACTCAGAAAATATGAGACTTTGCCTTCCTTAATGTACACTCAGTTGTTTCTTCATTACCTCAAATATTCTGCTAGAAATTATTGGGAACTGAGCCAGCCCCACCTGGTTAACTTTGCTCTGTGTTTTTCCCCATTGGAAGAACGCTAGAAAAAAAGAACACAGACCTCGATGAATTGCAGTAGAGGTTAGTAAACTTTTCAGGTTATCAAATCTCAAGATTTTCTTCCGGTAATCTCACCCCTGAAATCTTGCAGAGAATGCTGAAATTTCAGGACATTTTTTGAATTCTCACTCAAGATCTGAGTATCCCCTTCATTTTTCTAATTGATTGTCCTGAGATGTGCTGGACTACACACATATCATACCCATTTAGATTAGGGAAGGTCATTGTACAGAGTGTGAGCCAAACAATTTATGCAGTGTTGCAAGACACAGCTTCCCATCATTCCTGGCTGCCTTAATTAAAAAAAGAAGTGGGTCCCTCTATCCAGCTGGCTGGCTGCCCCCATTAAGCTAGCAGTCATGGGAAGCTGTTCTGACTTCTGTTTTTCACCCATTATAAATGCCTTTTCTAGCTAAATAGTTGGACAAGTCAAGCACTCCAGAAAGCATGTATTGAAAACAGCTTCTAAGCCTATGCCTAGTGAAAACAGGGAATTATATGATTGGCTATCAATGTGTCTATTACCTCACAACAATACAAAGATAGAGTGGGTGTAGCAATGGTGGAGCTCTCAGCAACTGTATACCACGTAACCCCAAGTTCATCAGTGATCATGATAGCGTCTTGCCTAAGGCCACCAAAACAGTGCTTGTGCATATTTGCCAGGAAGGAATAAATAACAAATTCCAATCAGCATACACATTGCTTTTTTGTGTACAAAGATAGCATTCAAAAGTCTAGAGCTTTCAAATGCAAAATAGACAGCTGACCCTTGAAAATTGGAATTGTTTGCTACTTCTGACTTTCCCAATTTATACTATTCTTTTTCCCCTGTTAAGCAAAACAAAGTGTAAAGTGATAGGCAAAGATCCTTAATTTTACATACACACTGATAGGGTCTGAGACATCTGTAATTAACCAGGGAAAAGATCTTGGGGGTCAACATAAACCAGTGTTTTTCAAACATGGCAACTTTAAGAGGTGTGTATTTCAACTCCCAAACTGGCTGGGGAATTCTGAGAGATGGAAGTCCACATATTGTAAATTTCCAAATTTAAAAAACAATGATATAGACTCAATGTGTGGCAGCTGTGAGAAAAGCAAATTCAATGCCAGAGATCCCTATTACAAAAAGGGATTAAAAATGGAACTGCCAACACTGCCATCCTTATACATATTTATGGTCTACATGTAGAATACTCTATAAAGTTGTAATCAATTGAA